CCCCCCCTTTTCTCTCCATCGACCTCCCATCTCTCGCCCGGATCCGATTCTTCCACCGTGATGCTGCTTTCCGCGAGTCGTATGGGCATGGTCGCTGCGGCGATCATGCTTGCATCTGCCCCTTCTAGCTCCGACGCCAAGTCGCTGCGCTCCAACGTCCGTGCTCGTCAGTCGTCGGGAGCCAGCGTGCAGCCGACGCCCGGCATGGGCTTCAACACCTACAACCAGGTCTCTTGCAGTCCCACCGAGGCGTCGTCGCACAAGACCATGGATATCATGGCGTCGCAAGGCTACATCGCTGCTGGGTATGGAATGTTCGGAATCGATTGCGGATGGGTAGCCAAGTCCTCGAGCCGTGACTCTGCTGGCAATCTGATGATCGACACCAACAACTTCCCGTCAGGCATGAAGAGCCTCGGCGCTTACGCCACCTCCAAGGGTCTCGAATTTGGACTCTACTCGGACGGAGGCTTCCTGGCCTGCGACCCGGATGTGCCCAGCAAGCGACTCGGAAGTCTGAACCACGAGGCCCAGGATGCTGCGCTGCTCAAGAGCTTTAATGTAAGCTACCTCAAGTACGACAACTGCTACGCTGGCGGCTCCACCGCTGGTGACAACGCTCCCAAGGCGGCTCGCACCGACTTTCCCACCCGCTTCGGCGCCATGAGCAACGCACTTGCCAAGGTTGGCATCCACAAGATGCTCGTCTGCCAATGGGGTGTGCCGCAGCGCCAGTCCGACGGCTCTCTGGTCGGCCCGGATCAGTGGACCAAAGGTCTGAGCACGTCCTACCGTCTCTCGGACGACATTGCGCAGGGCTGGGTGAACGTGGTGCGCATCCTGAACCAGGCTATTCCGATCTCGCTCAACGGCCGCAGCGGGCCTGGCCACTTTGCCGATGGCGATCTGCTCGAGGTAGGCAACGCGGGCATGAGCATCGACGAGCAGGCGACGCATTTTGCCTTCTGGGCCATGATCAAGTCGCCCCTGATGATCTCGACCGACCTATCGACCATCTCATCCGAGGCCAAGGCGATCCTGCTCAACAAGGGCCTCATCGCCGTCAACCAGGACAAGCTCGGCCAGCCGGTCAAGCTGGTGGAGAGGAGGACCAACGACTTTGATCTGCACGCGGGCAACCTGAGCAACGGGGACCTGGCGGTGCTTGCCATCGATTGGACCAACTCGCAGCGAACGATCAAGATCGACTTTGCGCAGCTCGGCGTGCAGTCGGCCGACGTGATGGATTTGTGGTCTGGCACGACGCAGACGAACGTCCAGGGCTCATTCAGCAAGAAGGTGAATGGCCACGGCTCTGTGGCTCTACGTCTGGCTAACGTCAAAGCACTCAGCTCCACCGCACCTCGGCTGACTTACGTCGAGGCTGAATCCGGTACCCTAGCCGGCAACGCCGCCAAGGCTTCGTGCGCTGGGTGCTCTAATGGCAGTAAGGTGTCCAACGTCGGAGGAGGTCCCGGCAACACGCTGACGCTCACCAACATCAAGCCAAGCTCTTCCGAGGCGGTGCTTTACTTTGACTACATCAACGCCGATGTTGGCTTCTCCTTTGTCGGTGCGACGAACGAGCGCTTCGCCCAGATCAGTGTCAATGGCGGCACAGCCCAGAACGTCAGCTTCCCGCTCTCGGGCTACGACTGGAACAAGGACGTGACCAAGGCATACAAGGTTCGCCTCAGCGGCTTCAAGCCAGCTTCGGTCAACACGATCACCATCTCGAACCCGAACGGCTACGCGCCCGACTTTGACCGTGTGGGTTACTAGAAGCGAAGCTCCTCGCCCAGGCCTCGTCTGGCTATGCCCTCCAGAGCTGCAAAAGTCTGCACGCCAATCCATCGTGCTTATCCGAATTCTACCGTGTCGATCTGCGCCGTGTGAGGTTGCTTCACGCGTCGTTGGAAAAGAGTGTCAGGCTTGGTCGCAGCTAAGCGAGTGTAAGTGGTCTAAGCGTTGGGTGGCTGGTTGAGTTGCTGTTCGGTGGGTTGCTCGGTCCCGATTTCGGCGCCGAATTGGACAGGCGGAGCTGCAGAGGCCATCATGACGCGAATTTGCTCCGACAGCGAAAAAGAAAGCTGGTGCTGCAGGGTCCGCTCCGAAACAGCCGCAGGTTCGCTCGGCTGTCACTTCGGCACAGGTGCCCGCCGCCGCCCTCGCGCGTTGCCTGAACCTGTCGGAGCAGCATGCGCCATCGTGGAGTCGTCACGAGTAGCGCAAAGGCCATTGTCCACCGTCCCAGGCATCGTCGACAGGGACGTGCGATTCGTATATAGTCCGCCGTCAGTGAAACCCTGGGAGCCTTCTCTCATCCCTCATCCCAAACTCCCCGACCAAGTCTTTCCTCCAACAATGTCTACTGCACACGGAACTTCAACGCACTGGGCCAAGACTGACCCGTCCGTCCCTCCCCCGAGTTACAATGCAGCGATGGGTGGACTCCCTTCGTTGCGGTCCTCCAGCCCTCTTGATGCCTCTAGCCAGCATCGATCTGACGACTTCTCCGAGAAGAAACAACGAGAGCGCGAACTTGAGCTCGACCCCCGTCGTGCCTGTCCGACTACCATCAAGCAAGTCGATCCCACGTATCGCTCGTACTCGCCTTCCGCAACTATGTCTCTTGACCCCAAGACAGCGCTCGCGAGATTCGGGAGCCCCTTTGCAACGTCTCCTGAATGGTCACCCCTCCCTCAGGATGCTTGCCTCACTCGATTGCCTTCTTTAGATTTGGATCTGCGAATCAAGATGCGCTTCTCCAGTCCTTCCAACGAGCAGCGCATCTCTGCTCCGCCGCCAAGTTTTCATCGACGCGCCATCCCCTCCATTTCGTCCGATGCGATGCAGTTTGAGCCGGTCTACATCAAGAGCGCCAACAACAAAGAGACCAAGAAGCAGATCCTCTCGGATGGTTTCCAGCCCGTATATCCGGGCCGCCTCTTGGTGCCACGCGACGTTTCCGCAGCAGACTGGGCTCGTTTCTTGGACGACATTGTTGCTGCGGGAGCGCTCACAGGCAAGCAGAAGATTGTCTCCAATGTCGCGCCCATCACCATGCACATTGGTATCACCGGCTTCCTCGTGACGCGTGCTATCCAGAAGGGCATGAAGAAGCGCAAGTCACCCTTGATCTGCGAGACAATCGAGAACTGGCAGCACCAATTCTTTGGCGCTCGCAGCCTCGATGTCTATGTGCTCTACAATGGCGAGCGTCTCACCGCCCGCTCGCCCAACGGCCCCATCCCTGCATCTGCGTATCCGGCGCATCCCCAGCTCCAGCGTCAGGATAGCCACGCTTCTTCGGTCAGCTCGCTCTCGAGCAACAGCAGCTCCAGCAGCGATTCATCAGACGATGGGGACCGTGCTGCGCTCCAGACGCTCGACGGCCGACGCCTCGGCCGGAAGGAGAGGAAGCTGCTCAGAAAGCAGAGGAAAGCCGAGCGCAAACAAGAGCGCAAGCTCGCCAAGAGCGAACGCAAGCACAGGCGCAATGAGAAGAGGCATGGATGCTCGCCTTGCTCTCCACTTGCTAGCCAGTCCCCCAGCGGATCGAGGCCCAGGCAGGACGGCGCTAGAGGAGGCTACCTGCTCGTCATTGCTCCGCTCTCAGCCTCCACAGCCAGTGTCGCAGAAGATGCCGCTTTCTTCATGTGGTAATCTACTAAGTCCAGCTCGTCCCTGTATGTCTAGCGCCTTCGTCAGCCAAATGCCAGCCTTGATGCCAGTGCTTCTCGTCTGTAGCGTGCCTGCGTGGAGATGGACATGCGAAACAAGCAGGATTGTTATTTTGGAGGTATCTGACAGAATTGGAATTTTGGAGGTGTAATTGACAGTCGCCGCATCGGCTATAGAGAAGAGCGGCAATTGCCGGTCGGCGGCACACAGTGCGGGGAAGCGCAGCTGCAGCTAGTGTGGTGACCACCAACAGGTCCGTGCTTCTGCAACTCTCTCCTCCCTCTCTTCCTCCCCTTCCCCACATCGTTCACAGCCATGTCTGATCCCAAGGCAAGTCAATCTCCTCGGTGCCGCTCAGAAGAGCGAATGAGCAGCAAACTTAAACGCACCTCTTCGTCGTTGCGTCACTACAGTCCGGCTATCTACGTGAGATCTATGTGGGCGGTCTCAGCGGCGTCAAGCCCCAGACCACCGACTTGAAGCAGCTCGAGCAGCACGCCAAGGCCAAGATCAAGCCCGAAGCGTACGCCTACGTTGCTGGTAGCGCCTCGACCGAAGCGACTGCCCAGAACAACCTCGATGCCTTCAAGAAGTGGCACATTGGTAAGCGCCTCATCCTATTAGCCTCTTTGCACGCGCTCTTTGCTGATGCCTTTGCGCATTTGTTGCATATGCGCCTCGATTCGTGGACAGTCCCATCTATGCTGCGCGATGTGTCGCTGGCAGAGTTCGACAGTAGCACGCGGCTGTTCGGCCGCAAGTACGCCACGCCGCTCGTCATCGCTCCCATCGGCGTGCAGGCGCAGCTCCATCCCGAGGACGCCGACTGCGCTACCGCATGTGCAGCAGCCGAGCTCGAGATCCCCTTCACTCTGTCTTCAGCTACCAGCCGCCCGCTCGAGCAGGTTTACGAGCAGGCCGGCTTCCGTACCGACCCCGAGGAGGAGGACGACGGCGGCGTCGACGCCTGGTTCCAGCTCTACTGGCCACAGGACGACGAGCTTACAGAGAGCCTCCTCGCCAGAGCAAAGAAGGCTGGCTACCGCGTGCTCGTCGTTACTCTCGACACGTGGAGCCTCGGCTGGAGACCTCGCGACCTCGACACCAGTATGTGACTGTGCGACTCACACATCGGCAACACGAACTTTGCTGACATTTCTCTGCTTCGCCTATGTTTTCCGCAGCATATAACCCCTTCCTGACGGGTGAAGGAGTGGCCAATGTCTTCTCGGACCCGGTCTTCGTCCGCAAGTATTGCGATGGAAAGGTGAGTCTCATCGATGACTGCTGCGCTGCTTTCTCAGGATTCACTTATGCTGATCGAAGCCACATCTTGTTTGACCAATGCAGGATCCGCGCCGCGCAGATGTGACGCCGGACGAGATCACCTCTGCATCGGTTGCAGCGATCTCGCAGCTTTCGCCGGGCATTTCGCGATCGTGGGCGGACCTGGCGCAGCTTCGACGTCTGTGGGGTTCGGCTCCCATCGTGCTCAAGGGCATCCAGACGCTGGCAGATGCTGCTCGTGCCGTTGAAGCGGGCATGGACGGTGTGTGGGTCTCGAACCATGGTGGGCGTCAGGTCGATGGCGCCGTAGGCTCGCTCACCCAGCTGCCCGCGATTGCCGACTACATTCGCTCCCTCCCACTCAAGGAGGGCGAGGAGAAGAAGACGGTCATCTTTGACTCGGGCATCCGCTCGGGCGCTGACATCATGAAGGCTCTCTCCCTAGGCGCAGATGGCGTCGCCATCGGTAGGCCCTGGTGCTGGGGTCTCGCAGCGAACGGACAGGATGGCGTGCGCGATGTGCTCAAGACGCTGCTCGCCGATTTGGAACTCAACGCCGGCCTCGCCGGATTCCAATCTACGGCCCAGCTCTCCAAACACAATCTCGTTCGCGCCGACAGCCGCATGTAACGTGGCCAATCTGTAGCTTTGCGGACCGCAGAATAGCATCTGTGCGATATCTGGATGCGGAGGGAATGTGTACATCACTGAGGTTGCTGCTTGAGTTGGCGTTGGAGCTGCTTGGCGACGTGCAGGATAAGCCTGTCGCAGCCCCACTGCGATACGAGCGTGGCGCCGACGGGCCAGCCGTCGTCGGCGACACCGGCGGGAAGCGCGAGCGCCGGCAGCCCCGCCAGGCTCGCGGGTACAGTCAGGATGTCCTGAACATACTCGGCGACGCCCGCATCGCGCTCCTTGTTGAGCGCCGATGCCAACGTGGGAGCCGTATCCACTGCGGATGGGTGCAAGATCACGTCCACGCCCGCTGCGTTTGATTGCACCTCTTGTGGGGTCTGGCCCAGCACGTTCGATGGGCTAGGGATGCGGAGGGCGGTGGCAAAGTCGCGCTGGATGTCGGCGCGCACGCGCGAGGCCTGCAGAAAGAAGTTGTCAAACGCATCGGCGGTGAGCGCAAACGTACCGAGGAGGATGCGCTTGCGCACTTCGTCGCCAAAGCCTGCCGTGCGCGTGGCTGCATATGCATGGTGGCCCGGCACGGGAGGCACGTGCAGGCCGTACTCGACGCCGTCATAGCGCGCCAGATTGCTGCTCGCCTCGGCGGACGAGATAATGTAGTACGCACTGAGAGCAGACGGCGTACTCGGCAACTGGATCGAGACCACCTCGGCGCCGAGCTCGGTGAGCGCATCCACTGTGCGTCGGAACGCCGGCAGAACGCGCGGGTGCAATTCCACGGGGAAGTACTCCTTCGGCACACCAACACGGATACCCTCCAACGGACGCTGCGAGTCGGCAGTCGGCAGAGCAGCGATCACGTCGTTGACCAGCTGGGCTGCGGCGCTGCGCGATTCTTGGCTTGCACTGGTGGGATCGCGTGCATCATGCTTGGCCAGGACACTGTGGACCTGCTCTGCATCCTCGACTGTGCGCGTGAGCACACCGACCGTATCGAGACTGTCGGCATATGAGACCAGTCCCCACCGGCTCACCAGACCATATGACGGCTTGAGCCCCACAACACCGCAGTAAGCGGCGGGCAGTCGGATCGATCCGCCTGTATCCGAGCCGAGCGCAAAGCGCACAAGCCCCGCACGCACCGCCGCGGCTGATCCGCCCGAGCTACCTCCCGCTGACCGCTCCGTCTCGACATCCCAGTCCCTGCCAATGTTCTTGGAGCTTTGAGCTGGAGAGGCCGGATTGCGTACCGCCCCATGTACTGAATGCACGTTGTTGGAGCCCATGCCGAATTCGTCGCAATTGGTCACGTAACGCAGATCCGCCCCTGCCTGACGCAGGCTCGTCACCGCAGCGGCATCGAATGTGGATTCGTAGCTCTCCAGCATGGCGCTCGAGCACGACGTTGGTGCATCCTTGACGCAAAAGTTCGCTTTGACCGCCGCGGTCCACCCGGCGAGAGGCGAACGGGAACCGACATTCTCGGTCGCTGGTGATGGGGGAAGCGTGGAAACGATAGCGTTGAATGAATCGTATGGCCCGTCTCGCAGCTGCACAATCTCCTTGTTCGGCGCTGCTGTCGGTGATGAAGAGGTGGAGCTGTGCCTTTGATGACGAAAAATGCCCGGTCGGATCGGGGATGTCTTGAGGACAGCGTGGCAGCAGCTACCCGCACAGGCGCGACGCTGTGCGATGCTGCTGGTGCCTACGCTGAGGCACCTTCGGGCCGTCTTTGCTCCCGAGCGGCCAAATGCCGAAGCCATCTTACTCTTTTGCGAAAGTGATTGGTGGTGACGGTCAAAGTGATGCGAAGAAGCCGCTCTGCTTGCGAGCTTTCTTCCAGTAGTCGCCTTGGACCCTTAAGAAGGCGGTGGAGGTCGGGGCTTTTCTCGTACGGTAGTTTGCAGCGCAGCTACTCGACTCCCTTTCGCGGACTTTATTCTCCTTATCTCACTTCACAGCTTCACCTGCGCACTGTGTATACCTTGACTGCACATACCTCAGAGTCTCATCATCCCTTGTCGTGATGTGAAATGCGACCAGAAGGTGACCAAAGTATGTGGTCTGTTGGAGCAGCGAAACCTCCACGATGAGAGCGCAAAGGGAAAATCAACGGGAGAAGGGAAAAAGAGGCCACGAAAATCGACAATATTGAAAAAGCTTCATCGAGAACGCTGCAAGGGGAGGCATGCGCACGCTCAACTGTTGACCGGATCGTGTGAATCGAGCACCACCAGTCCACTGCCGAGAGTGCTCGACGTCGTTGACGTCGACGAGACTGGAAGCAGCGTTGGCGAGAGAATGACGGTTGAGAAGCTCGCTTGCGGCGACCGGGCCTCGCCTACACCAGAGGCAGCAGCTCGTGTGGAATGCTGCACCACGGCACCGCCAAATTACAGCTTGCGCGGGGATAGATGTTGGGCAAGGGTGCGTGGATCACAGCGACGACCATGACGATCGCATTGAAGAGACAACGAGCGAGAAAGCATCAACGCATCCACGGCTCGCAGTTGTAAGGTTGTCATGCGGCGAACCAACCTCTCCACGCGGATCGGAAGCTCAATATTTTTTGAGACAGCCGACCAAAAGAAAAAGTAAAATGCCTCTCTCGCCCATCGGTGCATGGCAGCCGAGTTCGCGTGGCGAACCGTTCGGGCCTTTGACAGCTGACCTCTACGCAGCGAGCTAGCGTCGACGATGGTGGTGAGAGGCGCTGGCTATCAGAGTGGGCCGACTCGGCGATATGACCACCGTGGAAACCCTCCGCTCGAGTCAGACAATTTGAGGACCCTGGGCTCGAGCTGAGTTACCACAGTGGAAGCCTGAAAGCCAAGCAGGAGGCTGAATGCATACGCGGATCGGAAGTGCACCTCAAACTACAAGGTCTGGAGCCAAGGCACAGACTTCAAGCTCCGCCATGCCACTCGAGAGGGCGAATCTGGACTGGCGCCATCGAGCGTCCTACAGCGACAGGGAAAGACCCCAGGGGGCAGGCCAAAAAGGAGGGCGCTATCAAGCCGAGCGGATGCACGAGAAAGACAAAAAAAAAGTGAGACAGACCCGCCCGATCGGAGCAGCAAACACGGGCGGCCTTTGTGCCACTTTCCCACTTTACGATGGCGACGGCAACATGCCGAGCAGTGATCAACCTTGCAGCCGGTTAACTCGGACTCCTAGATTTGGGACCCAGCATTCCGAACGGATCGTAGCAACACTAGCACCGTTTTGTGAGTCTCCGGCTCGACGGTGCCATCTGAAGAGTCCTGCTCGCTTGTGAGGAAAGACATTCGCCCGACAGAACGAGTTACGGTTAGGAGGTCAGCCTGCAGCCGTGCGGGGGTTTGCACCAAGATCTCGGCGACAGGGCGACAAAAGGCATGGGTGTGCTTGGCAGATTTACGGTCCGTACGCACGGAAGCCTTCGCATGTGGGGGTCGATGGGCACGGCGAAGCATTTGGCTCGTCTGAGCTTTCTTCTTGCTCACGGTCGGCCGAGATGCAAAGGAGTCAGCCGACTGCGCGATGGCTGGGGCGGGCGGAGCATCTAGCTCTAGCTCAGCTCCATCTGCATCGACGGCTGAACATGTGAGCATGCAAATGCCGCAAGTTGTTCTGGTAAGCTCGAGGGCAGATGCTATCGCCACCAGCATCGGCGTGCTGTGGAGGCGACGCATGACAGTGCGATTGTCAAGAGCCGCATTCAAGCTCCTATGGCAGCCAAGTGCAATCGTTGGCGGCTTGGCGGCATGCGGCAAGAGAAAATCGAACGGTTTCCTACGATGGCCGGCATTTGCTGCTCGCTTGGTCGCTCACTGCAGGCTATGCGTAGGGACGCCATCGTGGCGAGAGTGGGGGGGTGCCGGGAAACGAGGGTGGATGAATGAGTTTGCGCTCCAGGCGGAGGCGAGGCAGAAGGCGGTCAGGACATCCAAAAGCCGCCCGCATGAGACAACCGGCTGCGGTTCTTGAGCCATTTCGATCGACGCAGCCAACCGACGCGGCACACCGGCCATGCGGTGGGCGATGGCGTGAGCGGGGCGGGTGAAGCGTCTATGGGATCTAACACCGTGCCAGCGTCGCGCCAGTGTGCACCAGTGCGCCAGTGTGGCCGGCTCAGGCTCCGCTGCTGCAAATTTGCCATCACGGGCCGAATATTGCAAGTGGCAACGAAGGCGTCCCATCAGTCTTCGCGTCAGGTGGGATACGGTGGCCGAGCCACGAGACGGCGATGGTCGCGGTTTATTCATGGAATGGCATGGCTGCCTCCATCCGCCCCAATTTGCCACCCTCTGCGCCCAGTGCCTTGGCAGTCACGTTCGTCCAGGTTGGCCTGACTTCGATGGCCGCAGAAGCCCTGGCAATCGGTCGATGGGGCGCCAGCCGGACAACCAGCGCGTCCGCCCGCCTATCGCCACCTCTGTCGCCTTCCGGGGCGGTTTTCAGGGTCGCCCTGTCAAGTTGTGAAACCGCTCGGAATCCGAACGGCTTTAGCCCTGGCGGCCCGTCCGTCCTCACCCCTCCGCAAGCGCACCCGCAGCCACAGCAGTTCAGCACTGCGCGATCCTGCTGGATCGCCTGCCCGACCGCACGCTGGTCCGCCTCCTCCTCGCGCTCTCCCCTTCCTCGGCCATCGACTCCTGCCGCCTGCCCAGGCCACAGCATTTTTGCACTCAGCATACAGAGTACACACACACTCTTTGCCCTCTTAGGACTTGCCCATCCGCAACGCGCTTTCCTCCCTACACACCATCATCCCGACCATTCTCCCGCACCCAGCTACTTCACATCTGCTCCGGTTCTGGTACTCCATCTATACGCATCGACTCAACACTACGCAGCTCCATTTGCGCATCTGCTCCTAATTATCGCTCTTCGCAGCCATCGCAACACGGCAGCACAATCGACGCACGTCTCAGTCGTCATCCACACACCATCGTCTTGACATGAGCCGTTAGTCACATCGACTTTCCCATCGACCACGACTCCCGTCTCTCAACAAAAAGCAGCTCATTCTGTTTGCCATCTATCACTGCCACACCGGTGACAGCATCCTGAAGGCCTGAGACACCAGTCTCTCTGTCTTCTGACAACTCTCCCATCCAAGCCTCTGTGCACCACGCACAGCGCTTGACCGCCAACCTGGTAGTCTGATTCGATTCACGTCCCCAGTATCGTCCCGTAGGCTACGATCATCGACGTCCCCCCGCTCTCGGATTTTTGATTCGCACCACTCTGCGATTTCCGTGCTGCAACAAACCACTCCTTCCGCCCTCCTTCACTTTCCGTCAGCCGACCCCAACATCGACTCGTCTTCGCTTCCCAACACGATCCGAACATCACACCTTGACTGCACCAACGCATCCTTGCAGCCTCACCAGAGCATTTGCTTACCTCTAAGCAGCCTCTTTCGACCATCTGCCAGCCGCACGCTCCTCAGCGTTCCGGCATCCCCAGCTGATCGGGTTCTCTAACTTCGTCAGCTCCCTTTATCGACGTACGGCGTCTCTCCGCCTTTCTGAAGGGTAAGCCGCTTTAGACATCCTAGGAATTCATGTCATTGGCCGCTTCCGCATCTGCCAACGCCGCATCCCTCGCCGCCGCCGCCACCGTGGCTCGTCCTTCTTCGCCTCTGCCGTCTACCAACTCGCTTCGCATCCTCCTCGTTGATGACAACCACATCAACCTTTCGGTGCTCTCGACGCTGCTCAAGCGACGATTCGGCCATGCTCTAGCCAAACCACCCGTCAGCCTCGACAGCGGCCTCAAGGCGCTCCAGATGCTCCGCACCCAGATCTTCGACCTCATCTTCATGGACATCGAGATGCCCTACCTCAACGGCGTCGAATGCACCCGTCGCATCCGCGCCGGCGAGGACGGCATTCTTGCGGCCAACCGTGGTGCGCACATTGTCGCCGTCACCACCAACGTGGGACCCGAGCCAGCCGCGCTCTACCGCCACACTGGCATGGACGGCATGATCAGCAAGCCAGTTCGCTTCCAAAACTTCCAACAGTACCTCTGCCCACTCTCCATCGAGGCATCCGAAGCCAGAGGCTCCGTCACGCCGGTCCTCGTTGGCACCGAGGAGGTCATGCCGCCCTTGCCTCCTATCGATCTCGAGCAACGCCTGTTTTTTATCCCCACCGATAGTGGCGGCACGGTCACCACCTCCAGGCATGGAATCGACCGTGACGAACCTTCGGCAGAGTATTCGGATGCCAATTCATTCGCGGCCATGCTCAAGGCGCAGACGTCCAAGTCGCTTCGTGACCGCAAGGCACTCTCGGTGTCTCGCTCATCGACGCTGTCTGAACCGCGCAGGTCGTCGTTCAATTCGCCCAGGTCCGAGCACCTGCCCAACATCCGCCCCGTGCAGCAGTCTACCTCCGCCGATTTGGCGCGTTTGGTGGCGGATGAGGACAATGACGGCTTATACCACGAGCCCAAGCCCGCCAAGTCCACGGACGCTGGGCAGGCGCCGCACCTCTCCTTCCAGTCCCTCATCGAACGAGAGACCCGTGACCGCGAGCGCGACGACACGATCGAGAGGCGAGCCCCCTTGCCGATTCGGCCAACGCCCGTCCACCGGATCAGCTCGCCCGCCTATCTGCTCGACGCCTCGCCCATCGCTCGCTTGCGTGCCGACCCGGCAATGCGCTCCAACCCGGACCTGGTGCCTCAGATTAAGCGTCGTCCCGACATTCGGCCTTTGCCTCCCAAGAGGCTGAGGCGCGATGATCCGTCGGACGAGTCGTGGAGCGGCACCGCGGACAGTGCGCTCGACAGCGCCAGCGGCGGGAACACCACGTCGTCTTCGTCGGCCTGGTCCAGCACGCCGATGTTCTCTGAGGACGGTGCTATGTCTCGCCAACTGGGTGCATTTGATGCGCTCGGAAGTCTGAGCCATCGACGCGGGTCGAGCCCCTCGTCGGGCATCACCACGCCGAGCTCGTCGCCTGCAGACATGGGCCTTCAGAACTACGACTCTGGCGACGCCAAAGACGACGATCTAGCGGGTGCTATCTACAGCCCGTGCGCCGACGATCTGCTCTCTCCTCGCACTCGCGAGCTCGGATTCGTGCCGCCGCTGCTGTCCTTGAACACAAAAGCCGCCTCGATCCAGAACAGGCCGCGCATCCTGGTGCGTACGGATTCGGACAAGGCGCAGCTCGGCTTAGGCATGGATGAGCTGCATCTCGGCTCGGTCTGAGATGACAGCGTCTGTCTTTGCGCATCAGGCTCCGGATCTCCCTACATCAATGGAGACCTTTGGAGCAGCAGCTTGCTGGCGAGCGCTTGTTCTTTCAAACTCGGATATGCTTTTCTTCTCGCCGATCAACCGCACTGATTTTGTGCGGCTCGTCACCTCGGATCTCTATCTCTCTCTCTCTCCTCGGTTTAGTCTCTTCAGCTATCGCCATCTCTCGGACCTCGCCGCATCGAGTTATACCCTTGTGCTCCCTCGCCTCTCGTCCGGGTCATCCTACGGTCACGTCTCTTCTCGCTCTCTGGCACCTCTCTTCCTCTATTCCTTATCACTTGGGTCTCTTCACTGTCTGTCCATCTATTCTCGCCCTCTCTTCTCAGCTTTGTATTTAGTGTATACCGGTCATCACTTGGGGTCTCTTTTGGTCATGCTATCGGTTTTTGCTTTCCTTCATGTTTGACTCTGTAGACGTCTGAACTTGAAAGTGGACGAGGCGTGCCTGTCAACGAGGAGCAGGTGGTGCACTGAACGCAGAGAGACGAAGAGAGACGAAAGTGCGAAGCGTGCAACGAGCGGGAGGGGGGATGATTAGGTAATGCTTATTTGCTGCGCATCGAGTAAGGGGCTGCGACGACGAAGAGGGGCTTTGAATTCGGACCCAGCGCACGCGCCAGCCTCGGTCGCCCAGGCGCGGTGCGCAAAGTGTTGGTCCTGGCCGAGACAAAAGGAAAACAGACTGCGAAGAGCCATCCAACACAGCTGACCCCTGACGCGCTCGTGGGTGTGACTGAGAATTGGCGCACACGCTGCTGCTGGAAATTTCGCAAGCGTGGCCAGAATTCACACCGCCTCAGCCCGAGAGAGAGAATGCACGGGCGCAGGACAGCGTGCGCGCTGGCTGTGCTCGAGCGCGCGCGTGTGTGTGAGTGTGCCGTCTGCTGGCGACGAGTGGACTGAGCGATTCCCAGCCTGAAGCTCAGAGAGAGCTCGGCGTCATCATTCGGCTGATTCGCGGCCCCTATCTACATCCACCACGATCATCCCCCATCGACCGCTTTCACCAGCTCGACCTCGATCTTTACGAATCACCCACGCAACTAGACGAACCTTGCCTCTCGACCGCCACCACCCACCTACCACACTATCTTTCACCATGGTGAGTGTCATCGCCTCAAAGCCGCAGCTTGTCTTCATAGCCCCTCGCCCGACCCTGCCGATAACTTCGCAGGCTCCCAGACGTATCGCTGGAGGACTTCGTTCTAGCTTACGCGCAAGTCGAGCAGAATCGCCGTGGTGTCCCCACCAGCAGTGATGTCCTGCTCGTTTTGGGAGCCAGAGCGCTTGAAGATGCTGGTCTCTGCCATGCCACTCTGCCAAGATGTGGTTGCTGCTCATATTGGCAGGACCTGAATTGGGATGCAGCTGGACTACGCTTCCGTTTGTCACCCAAGGAAGCATTGCGCTGACCTCGTCTTTCGCCTTTCTTCCGCTAAAACTTATGGATCGATCGTGCAATCCTTTCAACTCATCAGGACCGCATCAAGGAGGTAAGTGTTGCCTTATCTGGTGGAGCACGTAACCGCGACATCTGAGATCTGACTTGAAGTTTGCCTATCGCCATCTGCAACCGAACAGAAACTCAACTCGCTCCGTGTCGAGGCTGACGCCGCGGCTGAGCGCGCCGACGAGCTGGCGGCCAAGAACAAGCAGCTGGAGCAGGAGCTGCTGACCAAGGACCAGGAGATTGCGTCGTTGCAGCACAAGCTGAGCGTGGCCGAGGGCGACCTTGACAAGCTCGAGGGCAAGCTGCACGAGCACAAGGCGGTGCGCGAGGAGCACGAGTCCAACGCCACCAACTCGGAATCGCTGCAGCGTAAGGTCGACCTGCTCGAGAGCGAGCTCGACACTGCCGAGAAGAACCTGCGCGAGACCACGGAAAAGTATGTAGCCTCTGCATTCCAGTTTCGCCTGCACTTTTGATGGATTCGTCGACTGACACGTTTGCACCCCGTCATCGACACCTGTGACTATTCGCACACTACAGGCTGCGTCAGGTCGACGTCAAGGCGGAGCACTTTGAGCGCCAGGTGGCGACGCTGGAGCGCGAGGTGTCGCAGTGGGAGAAGAAGTACGAGGAGGCCGAGGAGCGCTACCGCACGTCGAAAGCAGAGCTGGACGAGGTAGTGGCGCAGATGGAGAGCCTCTAGGTCGTTGCCAGAGTCGGAGCCGGAGGTCGCAAAGTCGATGCTGCAAGCACCCGCGGCAGCACGTCGGACAGCGTTGGCCGAGACGACAATGGGGTTGCAGCGGAGGAGCAATCGCTGGCGGCAGGCGAGGAGGAAGAGGTGGAAGGCGAGCAAGAGATGGACGACGGCGGAGTGGTCAGCATGGTGCGGAGCTTGTCGCAGCGGTCGCTCAGTCTGGTCAAGCCGGCAGTGCAGGAGCTGCTGGTGACTTTGCTGGGCGTCTGGGCGCAGATGCTGCTCATGCTGCTCGCTTCTGGGCATGCTGCAGCATCGCCGGACTACGCAAGTCCCGACAAAGGTGGCAGTGACACGACCAGCAAAGAGCCGGAAGAGCCGCAAGGCGATTCGCAGCCGACCTTACAGGATGCGCTGTCACCCAGAACCATGCTTGCGGCGTTGCCGCCGCAAGTCTGTACCTGACAGGCTCGTTGCCGCCGTTCACTCACTCGTACCGCTCCCTTCATCTTGCCGGACTCATCCGCGACCCTTCGATCCGACTCTAGAGCAAAGAAAAATGTGCAACGATTTTGACTGACTGCTTTGCGGCCCGAGCTTGAGAGACACAAAGAGATAGACTGGCGAACGAGTGGCCCCGCAGACCTGCTCATGGCTCGGAGTGAGTGTCTCGGAAGAGCTACCGCAAAGCAGCCGCGTCTCGAGCGGACGAGAGCGTGAGGCACGTGACTCAAACAGGCAGAGGCGCGAAGTGACGCCGCCGCCTCGAAGTAGGATTTTGGCCGGGGTGGGCGCGAGTGTTTTGGACGTCGAAATTCGGCACTTTGGCAGTCGCCGCGACGATGCACGGATTGTGTTACTTTTGAGGCGCCGCTCGACTTGGGAGAAGCGGGTCGATCGAGTTTCCATCCATCCATCCACCCATCCAACCTTCACAGTCCAGCGCATCCATCACGTCCATCACGTCCAGCACGTCCAGCACGTCCAGCAC